CATATACATGCATACATACATACATACACATATATATAAATACATATATAAATTCATACCTACGTACTTACATATAATGTATATATATATATATATATCGTACGTACATACATACATACATACATACATACATAAATACATACACACATACATACATTCATGCAGAGTTACTTATCTGTAGTACTGATCTCACCTCGCTAGTGCTGAGGTAAGCTCTGGTATGGGATCTTCGGCGAAAGCAACCGCTGCGGTACGGGGCTCTGTGACCCCCATGTGGCCTACACAAGATATCACAGCGGTCTTGGACGAACTGATCAATGGCATTGGTGGCAGTTCGGAGGATATGAAGGAGAATGTCAGGACAAACCTGCCCCGATTAAATGGTGAGTGTCTTGTTCGTATGCGTATATACATACATGTATCTGCGATGGTGAATGGAGTATCTCAAACGTGTTGGTTTATCCTCGAGTTTGAACGTGTGCCTGCACGATCAAAAGGCTGTGGCACGTTCCTGCACACTGTTGAAGACGATCGGAGGTAGTACGGAGTACGCATGGGATACATGGCGTAACGAATACATACAACGCACTATATCAGACCGGCAGTAGGCTGGTGCTGTTAGACGTGGTGTGTCCCAGACAGGCTGCACCACACAACAACGACTGGTAACTTCTAATGACTAACTCTGCGGCAGCTGACCGCCGTTGTTGCGCCACCCGGTGGTCGGTACAAATACAATGCGCATGACATGTCTTCTCAGCCTAGCACTCAGGTGCTGCAGGAATGGTATTGGTCTAGGCTTGTTATTGTGATAGCTACGACTGTGGTCAGTCGGGGCGTGCATGCACTCGCACCCGAGGACACAGGCTTGGCATACTCGTTAGGGGGTGCTGTGTGGTGCTCCTAATTGCTAGTAAATGCGATAGCCCACGAGAGATACACAGAGATATACGTTGAAATGACTGCGAGTGGACCAATCAATATGCACTTTATGGTCTATAGACATCACAGTGAAACGACTTATATCGTTTAAAAACGTTACACAGAAATGTTGAGTGGGATACTGCAGTGGGACACTACACAGTTCGCGGGGCCCGTGGTGAAAGATAAACGTACTAGCGATACGTATTCGAGCGTGAACTTTGTCACGAAACTGGACCACAAGGAAATACACAAACGGTACCCCAGCATCTCAGCCGCCCTGAAGTTCATGGCGCATGTGCGACTGGTGATCACTGATTTACACGTAGGTGTTTCTGTCTACTTGAAACATTTACATATTTATATATGCATACTAGATGATTGTGTTGTTGGGTAATATATCTGTATGCGTTGAACAGGAAAGCTTTAATTGGTTGAAGCTAACAAACGGGTTGAAATCTCCGCCATCCCGTACTCCTCGTGGCACATGCGCGTCAGATAGGCATGCATTGACCCGTGGTTTTTCAGGCTTCTATATATATATAGCGGGAGTGTCAAAAAGTAGTCAAGTCTTAGCCATGGATTGACAGGTAGGTAGATAGGCCTGTATAAATAAGCTGTATGCTTGACCAAGCCTCTATCTTATCCAATATGATCTACGTATCTCACCAAGACTTTATCTTATCCGATTTGATCCACGTATCCAGGTTGGGGGAGAACGAATGTGTTAGTTCATGAGTATATGTGGATGTTGGGACTTGTGCGAAACTGTCGCTCCCACGTGTTTCATATACTGTATGCTAAAGCTATGTCACTAAAGATAGGTTGGTTGAATTGTTGAAACATCCAGGTAGTATACAAAGGTACGAAAATTCATAGTCGTCGAATCACGTATACTTTCTTCGTAGCTATCAACCTATATATTTGGTATGTACATACTTTCAGCCCGGATTACTTCTGTGTGTTGCCTCTCGTGAAAGTCCTCGGCGAACACAGGGTGGTGACCCTTTTATCATACAAAGAACATGGGATCGATCAGCGCGCGTTTACGACATTGATTTTATATATCACGAGCAGACGATTGAAAGTACCTCTTATGTTTCACTGATAGCTGAGTGAAGATATTTGAAATACATATATATATATATATATTCAACCCCCAGGGTATCAAGAAAGCCAACTTAAACGACGGTGTTCTGCGCGGCCCAGGTGCGCACACACTGGTACACTTTGAGTTCAATACCGACTCTCAGACAGTCACGCTGAAGGCCTTTAAAAAAGGCGGGAAGCTGCTCTGGTCCACCAATGGGGGTCTTTCGCCGTGTGTGGATAAGGTGGGAGCGCCGCTCAACAAGGCTGGAGGGTATGTAGGTATCTGTAGGAATGTGTGCTCAACAAGGCTGGCGGGTATGTAGGTATCTCTAGGTATGTGTGTTTGTATATGTGCGCAATGAACCGTCAGGCGGAGTACCGGTGGCACCTTGCGCCGTGTGTGGATATACTTTGCGCACCGCTCAACAAGGCTGGCGGGTAATTCTTGCGCTTACTATTGTGCTATATCTGTGGGAGTGTGTCAACGTTTTTATACCCGAAAGGACTGTCAGGCAGGATATCTATGACTTGCTGCAGCCTTTCACCGCTGTGCTATCAAGCATGCATTATCAAATATGATCTCATACTCATAAGTGAAGTGTATATATTGTTGTATCTACCCGGGAGCGTTTCGAGTGCATAGAATAATACGCTGTGTGTCGATAAGGATAGCGCGCCTCTCGACAATGCTGGAGAGTAGGTCTGGGCCTACTAGGATGAGGATAGTCTATACTAAGAAACACATGCAATTCCGTATTAGTAGGAGTGTATACTTACTTGTTTACTCGGCTGTCCCTAGCAGACAACTCTTGATTCCACGCTGTGTGTGGATGAGGTTGGTTCACCTCTTGAAGCAAAAGTGATTATTATTGCTTACTAGCGTGCTATTCTCCATGCCTAGAAAACACTCCTACATAGGCGTAGGAGAACGCATCAGATATATACATATATATATATATTTATATATTTATATGTATAT